ATCCCACCAAAAGAATATTTTATGTCAAAATTCCTTCCTTGAAAATTCACATTTACCCTGTGACCCAAAAGGCGCTCGTGGAAGTGTAGCCGAGTAGTTAGTGTGTCAAGCTACTGTCCTGGACTGTCGCGGTTCGACTCCCGCTGAGGGTGTTGATAAGACCGATGCGAGGTCGAAACTTCAGTCCATTGGTGCCTGGATGAGAACAACTTTTTGGAAAGCAAGGCTATGTGAAATTCAATGGAGACGTCAGCTCAATTCATATCATCGTGGGAAAATTCTTCTTCTACCATTCCTTCATCACCTTAAAACGAAATTAAGTGAATAAATCTCATATTAAAGAACGCTGCCTCAGATGCTGGTGCACTCAAATCGGTAGAATGCATCCTGGTGTTGGAAACGAAGGTGGACCTTTCGCTTTCATTTCTTAGTGCCGTTAATTTCGTATAAAAATGTGGCTGAACCACAGGAAACCCAATTAGGATTGTCCTCTTGTGGGTAATGCTACAATGAGTGTAGAAGTTCCGCAATCTTGACACTTCCATGTCAAGCTCTCGTCTGTACTGCATGACCAGCATCGTCGGAGTCATGACTTAGTGTCTTCTGGGCGGACGATGTTGGTCACGGCAGTACAGACGAGGGCTTGACGTGGAGGTGTCGAGATGCTGGACCCTTCATGATACAAGCAAGAGTCATTTTTACACATACTTGGACTGTATAAGAACTTAGTCACCAGAAGGCTCATAATCGAAAATGTCTCATGAACATCGTGACTACATGTCACCCAACAACAGGTCCAATGTGTGGCACAGGGCCTGGTCTCTCTAAAATGGCGTGTAAAGCAGGATTGTCGACTAAGCAAATTTTTATCTTGTCACTATAATCGACTAACTTACAGATGTTCTGATTGAGTAGGTTTACAAACTACCAGTAGATCTTCAGTAAGATATGTATTCACCCCAGGTCACATTAAGACTGATAAATGAAATTTCCCACAAAATGATATGAGAACCCTTTTTTGGGCGAAGCCAAGTGAATTTTAGCTGAAACATTAGGCCTGCTGGTACAATGTAGGAAAATTCAACTATCAGTTCTTCATCGCTTATGCGTCCTAGAGTTGACACAACTCTTTTTTCAAGATCTTCTGTTAGTTTAGAAGACTACTCTTTCAGAGTATAAGTAATATGGTAGAGTATAATAACAAGATACAAGTTTCCCTCATCGACAATTCCACTATATTGCAGGGAAGACTTTCATTTCGTATGAAAGTGCATGATTAAGAGCTTCGTTGGTCGATCTTATCTGCCGATTTCCGTTGTTCTGCAACCATGTTATTTTACTACTACATCTCTTTTTAAGCAAAACGTATTAAGCTTACTTCCATCATATGACGGACATCGTCAGAGCTGGAAATCATTCTTTTGAAAGTCTCGTGTTAACGTTAGGTCAAAAAGACTGTCCAGGTCTATCTTAAATCTTATATACATAAATATACTCATTATTAAAATAAAAAATGTATGGGCATAGTTAGATATAGAGTGCTTTGGCTAATTCCCTTTCATATTGGCCACGGTACTTTTAATTGAATGTGTCTGTGGGTGCGTGAATGTACGTGTTATCTTAAAAGAGGCATCGAGACCCAGTTACTCTTCGTATCCTCAATTACTCCATAAATGTGATATGGGAAAGGCCTGGCCTTCGTTTCAGTCATTTCTCCATAACCTTATACAACTTGGGATGACTACAACTCTTATTCGAGACCAATTGGGTTTTAGGCGGTTGAAGGGACATACGCTCTATCATCCGAACATACCTTCCCTCCACCACGCTGGTCTATTCACTGGCGGGTAAGCCAGGCCTTCGAGCTACATGTAAACATTGTTGTATTTTAGGCCTTTATTCAGCCCTAAACAATGTATAATACACATAATGGCATACTCACAAATGCACTGGCAGTTAAGCCCATGCATACACAAACATAAATGCTCCAGATCCTCTTGCCAGATAATCCAGGAATAGCAGTCTCGTTCCCCTCAAACCCAGGCCCAGGCGTCTGCCCTTTGCGTCGAGCCGCATCTTCCCGGAAAGGCGCTTCTTTCGGCATACGTAGCTTAGGTCGAAAGGTGTATGCCCTACTGCAGCAAAGAGAGCCTATAGGTCTGTGCGTTTCGAGCACCGACGTCCCCACATTTTTCTGTACGCGCGTCCAACAATCACTGGTCCTGGCAACATGATTTGTCAGGACCCTTGGCCCGGTACCAAAACCTCGGCCAGGGCGTGTCGGACGGCCATGGCGGGTCGGCCAAGCGAGGCGTCTTCTGTCGGCCCACTCCCCATCGAGTGTCAGGACTGCCTGGCCGGCCTTCTTTACATGCGAATGTGACTGAGTGGGCAGGCGAGCCGAGCGCATGTGCACGCTTACGGGAGCATGGGAGAAGAGTCTTAATACCAGCCGGAGGCGTGTGCTTGGACGTTGAATCAACCGTCTCATTGCCTCAGTCGAGTTGACGGATTATCTCCGAGCCCTCGGCGGACCTGTCTACAGACAGATGCAACTGGCAGATAACTGCCACGACGACTCATCTCGGTTGCCAATGCAATTGCCTCTGGGGTGGCAGGAGGCAGTCATGGACGTGCGATTCACATTCACGTCATAATCATTGGTCCATTTGACTAAGCCATTTGCATAAATTCTCATCACTATCCCGAGAGAGCGCCGAATGTGTTGTGCTGTAATTGTGAGTGTGCTGTGCTTGTTTGGCGAGTATGTCGTGATCAAGAGGGTGGCCATGAATTCGGGAATAAAGTCATCCAAGCGATGTGAAAAGAAATTTAAATTTGAAGACTCCTTTAATAAATTCATTTTAGTATCATAATTAGGTTTTCGAGACTACCAGTAGATCCGATATAAATGATGTATTCACCATATTTCCTTTAAGGTGATAAAGGATTGGTAGTTGAATTTTCCCACAATAACATGGATGAGCCTCAAGTTTCCACTACATTTCATATAGGCTTGTTTCCCAACAGACATTCTTATCCAGGCAGGAGTGGACTGCAATTTCGACCTCGCCAAAATCTTATCAGCTCCTCCAGCGGGACTCGAACTATTGCTGAGGTAGAGTATAGTATTGACAAGTTAATCAAATTGTGATCTTGTAATGTTGATGAATATTTAGGTATGTGGTATTGTGTATTGCATGTATGCGATGTTAAATTAATGTAAGACGTAATAGCCCTAACCAAGCAGTTATTACATTAGACCTACTGGTAGTCTCGACAGCCTACTTATGAGACAGAAAATAAGTAATGTAGTTCAATGCTTTACAAATACAACTTTGCTTCGTCGACAACTTCACCACAGAAAAGTGATATGGGAAAGGCTTTGTCTACACTGAACTTCACTGTTGACCTGTGACACAAAGGCCCTCGTGGCAGTGTGGTGTAGTCATGTATGTTATATCAGGGTTCGAGTCCTTCTTGGGGTGCTGATAAGATGAGTTTGGGCAAGATCGAAACTGCAGTCCACTCTTGCATGGATAAGAATAGCTTTTGGGGAAAAAGGCTATTTGAAATTCTATGAAAACCTGAGGCCAGTTGTAGGCAAATTAAACTGCCAGTCCCTAATCACCTAAACGAGATAAGGTAAATACGACTCTTTTAAATTCATACTGTTCTATCTTTCATTTATAACGGAAAGGAAACGTTTGTTGGGTAGGATTCCTATATTGGCCTCATCATAAACCAAACGAATGCGGCTTGCCGAGCGATGAAGTTTCCGAATCACCGTCCTGCGACCTTGATGAATCTATGCCGTGTGGCGGACATCTTTAGAGCGATAAACCATAAGTCTCGAAGCAACATATCAAATACACTAAGCCCCAAAATAAGGGTAAGACCAAATCTCGAATGAAAAATAATGTCATAACAAATCACACTAAATAAGTCTTAGAAACCTAGTTTTCCTTCCCACATGCAAAATAAAATATGGCCGACTTCAAACTTACTAATTTATCATGCCTAATTTTGTGATCTTAGTGAGGCCTCCTATGATTTGGCCGGTTACTTCTTGCTTATCCTACATGCGTGTAGATTGGCTAATTCCTGAAAAGAAAGTGGATGAAGTCGTAGTTCTTTCGTCACATGAATAAACCGGCTTACGATCCCGTAATTTTGATGCATATTCAGGTATGAGGTAATTTATTTTCTATGTATGTGATGTTAAATTCATTTGAGATGTAATTGCCCTTTACAGCCTCGAGACGCTTTGCCTTCCCTCCTTTTGCTCAGCGGCTCTTCCTGCTCAGTATCTCTCTCTCTCTCTTCTGCTCTACAAGCCTATCGAACAGCCATAGATAGTCTTCACTCAATTTCCAACATTTGCTCCTCCTACTCAGAACGTTAGTCTTTTTACTTATTCCTATAGACTATCTAATCTAGCGCATGAATTTGGAGTAATGGTAAACTGCAAAAAGCTATGTTTTTGGTCATTATATTAATTTTCCTGTATTTGTGAATTAAGCTTTTTAAACTAATAGAGCTTTACAAGCGGTTTTTATAATCGCTTCTGGATGGACCAACAGTTCTCTCTCTCATAGCCTTTACTATAAGAGCCCAAATCTAGAAAGAGAGTCGGAAATTTATCTTACAAGAGTAACAACGGAGGAAAGCTCTAGTTTATTTGTATGCATTATTGTTATGTTCTATTGCCCTAGTAATTCATTTAACTTTTTGGCAAGCTTACATGATGGCATCAATGCTTCGCTCATGCTTACAACCAGAATAAACTAAACATCCATCTTGGCGACTCCAAGCTAATGAGATTCGGTGAAATAAAATGGCGTTTATCCTGTCTACAAACGATTATCTGTTCATAATTTCATTACATTAATACGAAAGCGCCATTCCCCAACCATAACAACTTATGTGCCATTACTCGAATTGCTTTTCTTCACAAAATGAACACTCTATTGTTAGGGAGACATTAATTTCGTATGAAAATGCATGAAGAAGAGATTAATAGTTTGATCTCACCGGAAGACGACGGCTGAATCCCATTGTACTGCAGCCGTTTGGCTTTAATACGATGCTTAGGTTGACGCAGTCCACGAGGCATCATCCCTTGCCTCGGGTGAAAACAAGCCGAACTTTCGTCCATCATATGATGGACAAAACTCACTTACTCTTCCTATTTACAATGAACACTCTAGGCAAGAGTTTATCCCACTTCTCTTAGAGTTGTGTGTGCTTGTAATAGATGTTTGTGAGAGCGCCTTAAATACATTCTGATGCTCTAATCTCACAAAAAGATAATTACTGATTGATGCACTGTTATCGTTTGATCTAACGAGAATATTCATCCTGACACAGACACCTTTCCAAACCCGTTTTTATTAGAACAGAAGAAATATGTCTCATAGACTACGTTTACAAGAACGTCATATAAAAATGACACGATAGCAGGTTAACGGACAGTGGCTTTAATTTTATGGTGAGATAAACCAACGAATATTTTTATCAGGTACTTACACGCAAAATGAAAGTAACTACGACAAAAATACATGAGGAAAAACGTTACCTCTTCAGCTCAAAAAGGACTTTATTACATATAGCATTTGGTAGGGTCTATTCAGATAAACCAACAAAGCAAGCGACTCGCTTTATTGGCAGGGTATAATTGGTCGTGTTGGTGAAGTCGTGAGATGAGATGAAGGAAATAAAGAAGTATATGGCCAGGTAAATCATGATCATCACAAACTACTATATCAAAAATTTCAAGGAATGTCAGGCATTTGTCCACATCACATTGTGTGGCTGGATTGCCAATAAAATATTGTTGCATTTGCTATATAAGTCGACTACATTATTTATTTTTCGTTTATAAGTAGGTTTTCGAGATTACCAGTATATCATGTATGTGAGGTGTATTCAATCTTAAACGAAATAGAGTGAATTAACCTCATATATGCATATATATGATCTGCTAGTAGGTTCGAAAACCTACTTACATATTAAAAAAGTAGCATCAATCTAACGCATTAACCAAACCCCATTAAAAAAATCAGTGAAACTTATGTGGAGATTTAGTTGGAATGCCTGTCTTACTGTCATTTATAAATGAATTCTTGGCTTAATTTTGGGGTGTAGTGAACCATTTATTTGAAATTATGTATATGCGTGTGGGTGCTATGGATAGAGAAATGGCATAATTAGTGCACCTATTCATATCTGCGAAATAGGGATACAGCCTGTTTTGTAGGAAAACCGGTCATTTGTAAAAATGAGAACAAAGGCTAGAGAATTGCTGGATCTCCTTATAGATTATCATTGAGTTGGCTTTCATTCTGAGGGAAAGTGTGAGGTTCAACATTCTGAAGACCAAGGAGGATATTTCCTCGTCCAAATGTTCTTTGCCTACCCTAGGTCATTCGCTCTAAAGCAAGAACTTGAACATTCGTTTAGTAATTAATATAAGTTGACAGAACTTAAATTCACCCAAAAATTACTTCGATTCAAGCGGTAACCGATACTGTTGCTTCATTTTTGAGCTTTTAGACGAAAACTAAATAAGTTCATATGTATGGATAAAATTTGGGCCTTAAGTTCGGTAATAACGTGTTTGACTTTTAAATGAAGGTATGAAGACCAGGATGGTGTGACCTTTTGTATGGTCCCGGTCTCCTTTTGTTTAATAGAAGTTGCTTGACCTTTTTTTTCACAACTTGGGCATATTGGCAGGGAGACCTACAGGAATGCACCATGTATGCATGATAATTTCCAGAGTCGGAC